GCGTTTCTGACACAACCCCCTCCCACCGCCTGTGCCCGTGCAGTGGGGCTGATGCGGCCCCGCCACGTGTTCATTGTGCGTATCCACAGTCTGCTAGACAGTGGCTCTCTGTTACTTTCATGTGTCTCTCTTTTTCTTCTTTTTTTATGGGTGGGGTCATGGTTTCCCATTTCCTCCTTATTTTTCCTTCTATGCTTGTTTGACAACCCTGCATTTGATTTTCTGTTACCAATATTTCTTTTTCTTCTCTTCTGCATACAGACACACAAATACACAAACCCTTCAAGATTACACGTGAAGGAATGCGGCGTCTCTTCTTGTTTGCTCCGTTGCTCCTTCTGTACTGCACCCTTGTCACTCATGCTGTGACAGAGCACCACCAATGTATGTTTGACAGAGTGACCACGCGTATTGGTGCTGATTTTAAAGTTGATGATCGTGATTCAATTGGAATGCAAAACTTGAGAGGTCGTAGGGTTTCCAATGCAAATGGCAGATCGTCTCCAACTTTTAAAACCAGAGAAGATCCTTCTAATGGATGGGACCCCATTCGCATAAAACTTGTCACTGATAATTTGAAAAAGGATGGACATCACTGTTCAGATAAGGTCAAGACGCTTAAAACCTTATTGAACGGTGAGTTTAGTTGCACAAAAGATGATGTTTTGACGCCAGAGAAAGAGAAAATTCTTGTTAAAGAGATTCTTCCTGAGGCAATTAAACTGCACGAGGAACGGCTTTTTGTGGAGCGTTTGAAGGGTCCTATTGTCGTGCCGCAGTTCTCCAAGAATGATGGTCTTTGTTCCCAGCTCATACCAGAAGAGCATAAAACCACTGGTGTTCCAGAGGCGGACATGGTGCTCTTCGTAGCTGCACAGCCGACAACTAATGGGACATTCGCGTGGGCGGCAACATGTGCGACATTAGATTCTGATGGTCGTCCAGTTATTGGGATCATCAATTACGGTCCACGGTATATTGTGGCCACACCACAGCGTGTACGCGTTGCTGCTCACGAGATTGCCCATGCACTTGGATTTAATTTCGAGTTGATGAAAAGGAAAGATATGGTCCGTAATGATGTTAACTTGCGTAATAAGTCAAACGTTGCGCTTGTTAACTCTGAAAACACACTGAGGGAGACCATGGACCATTATAACTGTGATTCTACCGAAGGTATGGAACTGCGTGTGGTGCTTTTGCCAAGACAACTACGAACTAAAGGAAATAACGGTAGATTGCATGAAGGACGACCAAATCCACGTGAAGGAAGACAAAGGTCAGATAAACGGACACGAGCACACCCACATGTTCAAGACGGAAGAAGATCACTAGCGCCGCGCGTTGTGACTGCAAGTGTACAAGAGGAATATGAGCTGGGAAAATCACACAGTAATGCTATTGATGGTCGTTTGACAGGGAAGGAGTCTGTTGGCAGTGTTGTGCAAGAGAGACGTGGAGAAGAGGGTTTCAGTTCTGCCAAGTTTACACAGAATGTACATCATTCATCAAATGTCTTCTCGAAAAGACGTTCACTATACCTTCAAGCTACAGTTGCGGAATCTCAAAGCACATGCAGTCCTGGCAAACCAGTGGAGACTGAAAAGGGTGGTACAAGGTGTATTGTCGAGACGAAACGATTTCTTCCAGAAAACATGGAAATAATCACACAGTCACACTGGAGTCGACGAAACGCGAAGGACGAGTTGATGGTTGGTCTCGTCGGTGCTGGGTACTACACCGCACTCACATTGGGCGCTTTCGCTGATCTGGGCTACTACAAAGTTAATTGGACAATGGCAGAGCAGATGAGTTGGGGCAATAAAGCTGGTTGTGAATTCTTGAATGATAAGTGTGTTAACGACGGGGAAACGAAGTTCCCCAACATGTTCTGCACAACCGAAGCCACTGATGGTACTGAGTCACTACAGTGCACATCTGACCGTCAGTCGCTGGGAAGTTGCAGCAGTTTTGGAGCGAAAAAAAAAGATAACAAACCCCTTCCGGAGCATTTCCGATACTTTTCCGAGAACAATAAGGTTGGTTCACAAGAACCTGCACAAATGGATTACTGTCCTTTTATTAAGGCAAAGCACGGTTACAGTTGCATCAGTGGGGAGCAGAGCAATATGCCTGAAAGTAAGATTGGTATCAACTCACGTTGTGTGGAGGGTAAGGATCTAAAGGCTGACAACAATGCAGCAGTTGGTGCCGTGTGTGTGGAGGTGTCTTGCAAGTTCAAAAAGGTAATTGTGCGGTACAGTGGAAACGATAAGTGGTACAGTTGTCCTGAAGGAGAAAATCTAACTGTGAATGGGACTGCACTGCAGGGTAAAATTGTGTGCCCCAAATACGCTGATGTGTGCAATACAATCAACAAAACTCTGGATGAGTCACAAGGTCCATCAACAGACCCAGACACTGTTGAAAAAGTCCAAACAAGTCAAACAGAAGGTGAGACAACCACTGGAACCACCAAACCAAGTGAAAATGATGGAAACTTCGGAGTTTCTCTACCGGTGGTACAAAATGAGGCAAGTACGACTACAGAATCAAACCCCAGTGAAACTAAGGAAGAAAACATTACCTCATTTTTGAATGGGCAGAATAATAATATTGTTGCGAAAAAAGGCATTGATGGTTCTCTTAAAGCTAATGTTTTCGCGAGTGTTATGTTTGTTTTCTTGACACTCTCTGCGATAATGTTGCCGTGAGGTCTGCCTCTTATATACATTTGTGTGGAACACGATA